AGAATTGTTATACCGGTTGAATTACATCCCAAAAAAGGTAGAAGTTCCAACCCACCAGGAGCTCAGAATGTGACCTTATTTGGAAACGGGGCCATTAAAGATGTAGTTAGTTAAGATAAGGTCACCCGGGAGTAGGATGGGCTCCTTAACCAATATGCCTGGTGTCCTAATAAGGAGAGGAAAAGAGACAAAGAGGCAGAGACACACAGAAAGAACTCCAAGGGACAAGGCAGGCAGAGTGGATGCATCTAAAGGCCAAAGAACAACGATCACAAGCAATAACCAGAAGCTGCAAAGAGGCAAAGAGCAGATTCTCTGTCTGAAGGCCTAGAGGAACTATGTCCCCAGGGACACCTTGGTTCGATTTCAAACTTTTGACCTCCCCCACTGTGAGAGAATACATTTTGTTATTCTAAATCGCTCCGTTGTGCTACTTTATCATAGTAGCCCTAGGAAACGAATATAAATATTAAGAAACAATATGATACTTTGCATAAAAATCTTATTTTCATTTTTACATATTAGATATGTAACTGGTTAAATAAGCACTTATATCAAGGTATGGCCCATTCTCAATTATTTTTCCTTAGATCACATTTAAATTTAATACATTATAGAGGCATTATACTACTTACCCACATCCTAGAAGTCTGAAAATATCTTCAGAAAATATTAATTCATTGCTGATAAGCATTTGTTAGGAAATGTATCTGCCTTAAAATGAAGCAGAAGTGCTGAAATAGTCTCATTTTCTCCAGCCTCTAGTTTTGGAGGCAGTAGCTGAAGCAGTTAAGGGTTTGCCTTGATAGATGATCATGGTTCAAATCACGATTCTGTTACGTGACCTCAAACAAGTAACTTAGCTCTCGCTGCTTCGGTGCTCCATGTGCAAATAGTAAAAGCATTTATCTCACAGGGTTGCTGGGTTGATGAAAAGGCTCTTTAGTGCTTCAAACCTACCGCCACAGACAGACTGCAAGAAGCAACTCTGACATGCCACCCACCTGCTAGAAAACATTACATGTTCCTCCTTCGGATGCAAGAAAATGTTGAACAACGTCCAACAGTTGGATCCATCTTACTTTCTGCTTTCCTTCTCCCTTACTCACTTCTGCTGAATTGCCACCCTCCTTTAAAATCCAGCTCACATTTTATCCACTCCTGGCAAGATTACCCAGAACACCTACATCAGACTTATCATTCTTCCTCGGCCATATTCACACAGTACAAGCTGAGACTCTTATACATATTCTGCCTAAGAATTATTTGTGCCGCTGTGTCCCATTTGATAGGTTATGACATTCAGGAGGGCAGGGCCTGTGCCTTTCAACTTTGTATCCTCCACAGTTCCTAACAAAGATTTTACACTTAGTAGCTGCTCAATAAACGGTCATTAACCTTGGTTGAACCCACATTTCTTTTGGGCAGATGCCATAAGAAAAACATAAGATAAATGAATTACTTTTCTTCTTTCCATTGCAATATACATGCCCTGGGCTAGTGGGTATTTGCAAGCCTGCTTTAGAATTTAGGGAAGTCATCCATCTAAGAAAGGACAGGCAATGCATTTTAAATCACAAGAGCAGTATAGCCTTATATAAGGCCTTCTAGCAAAGCAATTATTGATGGCTCAATAACCCAGGTGCTGGTGTTATTATGAACACAAGTCTGAGGTTTAGAGACAATGAGTGATCTTAACTTTTATACTCCATAGGTATGCAACTCAGTAAAACATGCACAGATGGAAAGTTTAGATCTGAGACTCATACGTGGGTATCATAATGCAAATAATTGGCTTTCTTTCTACAGAACATCTGTTGAAACATCTGAAAGTAGTTGTTTATACTGCTGCCAACATGCTAAAGAAATATAATAATTCTCCAATGAGGTTAGAAATATCTGGGGGAAGAAAAATAGTTTTTATGGAGTTCTGTTTTTATTAAATCCCATTGTTATTTCTCTAATATGGCACGTAGGAGATGTTCAATAATATTTGTTGAATGAGTAGCAGAGACTCATTAAACAGTTGTTGAATGAATCATTTCTCTTTCTTTAGATTTACAAGATTCATTTTCAGAAAACTGTATGCTCTAGTTTTACCATGTCATATAACATTTTTATTTGGTATAAATTCAAGTAATGTTACTCTTGCTCTGAGGTATAAGGAAACACATATGACTAAAGCTAGGTATAGAACAGCAATATTTTATTTTTTTCCTTTTTATTGAATGTATTGGGGTGAGACTGATTAACAGAATTATACAGGTTTCGGGTGCACAATTCTACAACACATCATCCGTACACTGTATTGTGTGTTCACCACCCCAAGTCTCCATCCACCGCCCTTTATCCCTCCTATATATCTTATTATGTTACTTCTACTCATTATTATGAGACACTTTTAAAATTTGAATTGTGGAACTGCATAATCACGTTTGCTCTCACAAATAAAGCAAAACATCCTGCTAATGTCTATAGTTGTGGCTCCTCAAAAAAGACTCAAATTTAGGATTTAGAGGCAATGAAATACTCCAGGATTTGAAGAAGACTGCAGAAGAGGAAGAAGCCATTTCTCCCATTAACCTCTTCCCAGAATTTCCAGCAGCTCTCTCTTCCTTACTCCTGGGTGAGTGAGGCAACTAGGCTCCTTTCGGGCTGGCCAGCTTGCACTCTGCCAAGTTCAATGCAGAAAGAGCATGCTAAATAATGAATGTGAGCTTGAGTGTAACTAATAAAATTAGAATGTTAAAGAACAGCATGCTTTTGAAAGCCAGCCTCTTTGTGAGGATGCTCCCTGTGCAAGTCCATGGGAACTAATTCTGAAAGGAGGGATACTAATTGGTAATATAGTTTACTTTTGGGAAGCTCCGTCCTTTGGTGGCACAGCCTCTAAACGAGTGCTCAAAGAAAATGGCTTAAACCGCAATTTCAGCTTTGTTTTTCACCCTCGAACAGATACAAGAGTCAAATTTATTTCAGTATTTCAACAGGGTTCTATGTGATAGGGGATTATAAAGTTGTAAAAAAATGTATTTACGAAGAGTTTTCAATGAAATGCTAAAATGCTTGTGACATATAAGAGGAAAAAAGAGCAGAATCCAAAATTCAATTCATGAGCTCTGATCCCAGATTTCTTTATTTCAGAGCTTGCTCTGCCATGTACTCGATATGCAAATCTGGCAAGATACTTACTTGTTTTGTGCCTCAGCTTCCTCAACTATACCATGAAACTAATAATAAAAAAATAATTGCAAGAGGATAGAGAGTGTCCAGAATAGTGCCTGGCAAAGTTACTCAATAAAGAGTAATAATTATTATTACTCTTTGACAATATTTTCAAGAGTGTAAAAGAAAAATGCAAGATGAGGAGGATTACCTGGAAGGCAATGATTAAAATATTATTACTATTGGCTTCTAAATGATGTTTGTGGGCAATTCTTTTTTACTTCATTACCCTTTGCAGTATGCATTCTTCCAAAGTTTAGAAATTAAGTTTTATGCATTCACGGCTTGGAAATGAAGGTGGAAATTTGGAATAGGTTAAAAGTTATAACCGATTGTACTATAGCATAATGAAATATTAATTAAGTCTATTATACAGATGATGTGCCAGAAATTACATTTAGCTTGTTTTAATTCTAAATACATTCTAAGTGGAAATTACTTTTTCAGGTTTAGCCAATGTCAATTTAACATTCAGGAGTACAGTCACGTGTTTATTATAATCTTAATATTTTGACCTACTAAAATTAAAAATATTTTATTTTTTAATTTAAAAATTCTCATTCAAAAGTCCCAAAGGTGCCTTTCATGTGTAATCTTTAATTAGCAACCACTTTGGTCTCTGACACATATTGCGCAGATATTGAAGTGTTAATATTACTGCAGCTTGATTACAAAGGGCGATGAGTAATTTTAAAGCAGACACAAAAAGATATGCCCTGATTACAAAGGAATGATTAAGGCACAATGTCAGACATTGCTCATTTATAGCAGTCTTTGCCACATTCAAAGGCTAAGACTTTGCAAAAGTTTATATTTAGAAACACGCGTACTTTGTACTTTTCACACTCGGTGTTCGTGCCTTGGAGATAGGTCACCCCAACCCCAAGAAAAGGCCTAAGAAGCCTCAGGGGCCACGGGGTCGCAGCCAAACACCCGCACGCAGAATGGGCCAAAGGGGCCGCCGTAGTCTCCTTCCGGCCTGGCCTGGCAGGAATCGAGGTCACAACCTTAGGGAAGGTCTCCAGCGATAATAGAATTGTTAGCAAATCCACGTTTTGCTGAAAGACAGCACGTCAAGAACCTTGTCTCTCCAAAGAAAGGGGGTTGAGAGGTAAAGGCTGGGGCCAGGAAGGGCCGCTGCCCAGATGGCCGGGAAGCCGACGCCCGGGGTCTCTCCCTTTTTTAAGGTTGTTTTATTCTCATTCGAGAGAAAAGGAGAGAGAGAGAGAAATGTCAAAGATGGGCTTCCTCCTGCCTGCGCCCCTACCAGGGATCGAACGGGCTACCGAGGCGTGTGCCCTGACCGGGGATCCGGAATGAAACCGGAGACCTTGTGGTCACCGACCAGGCTGCAACCGACCGGCCACCCCGCCGGGGCTGGGGCATCCGTGTCTGTTGCCCCCAAGCGGGAGAGAAAACAAGGGAAGGGGCCCAGGCCTGGTCCGGGCGGTGCTCGGTCGGGGAAGAGGCACCGTGTGAGGCTGTTGTCCCACGTGGAAGGAGGGCAGACGGAGGGAAAACCGAGTCTGTTTTGCAACTGAGGGAACTGGGCCCTGGCCGCGCGCGAGCTGGGCGGAGCAGCCCGGGACCCCCCTGGTCTCCCCCCGCCCTGAGTGGACGCTGTCCGTGCTGTGGGCAGGGGCCCCGGAAGAGGAGGCCGATATGGGAACAGCCCCAGAATAATCTTTTCTTCTTTACTGTGCTTTCCAGGATCCTCAGACTCGGCTATAAAATATTTAAGGGGGGAAAAAAAGGAGCCGGGAGCCGGGGCCGAGATGAGTTTAGAATCCTTGTTTCAGCATATCATCTTCTCCGAGCATCAGGCCGAAGAGAGTCGCCGCTTGTTGCGAGAAGGTCCGTGGGGCACTTGGCACTCTGCGTGGGGCCTCTGTCTTCTGCAGGTCGGGGCTTGGAGCGGAAGGAAGTCCCCAAAGCAAAGGTCAGGGCACTTAGCGGAGGCTCTTTCCACGTGGAGGGATAGACAGCTGAAAGGTGCCTTAGCCCGGGCTACAGAAATGGGGACTTGAGAAAGATTGATGTGCTTAACGATTTAATTTGCCTTCCAGTCAGGTCGGAAATAAACAGATGTCGCGAAAAAATTAAGAAAGCAACAGAGGAGCTGAATGAAGAGAAAATCAAGTTGGAAGCTAAGGTATTGACATGGAGAGCATGTTCATGTATCACTTGAAAAAGGTGTTTTAACTTGACTTTCTGAGGGTATTTTACTGTTTAACTAGTTGCACTTCAAGTAGGTAACAGGCTAGTAGGCTGGTTAGCTAGGTCCCCGTTGCCCCAGAGCATTTACAGTTCTGAATCCAGTGACACCTCCCCATCTAGTATGAATTTGTCCTAAAGAAACCAGTTTAAGTAAGAAAAGAATTCATGGTTCATACTGGGGGATGGTTAAAGTTTTAAAAGAGCACAATATCCTTGGAAAGATAATTGTTCCATAAGTGGTTTGCGCGGTATATACATTTTGAATCATAAATCATTCAGGAAGTGGACCGGGTTGATGTAACTATTGAATGTAACTTTCAGAGGAGTCTCTGCCTTTTGTTTTTCAATTCTCTACCACATTTTGGACATGCCTTTCATCCAAAAGCGAATGTTTTCCACTAACAGTTCTTTTCTGCAGCATTTGTTCAGTTCTGTTGTTTTAAACAGAAGTGGGGGAATCTGGTGGTCTCCTGCAGGAGGATTTTGAAGGGTGGGTAGAATTTCCAAGAGGCAGAGCAGTAGGAGACAAGCATTTGGGGCTGGGGAGGATAGGAAGGAAAGAGACATCCCGGAAAGCATAGTGGGAGAGAAATCTACCGAGGCAGAGGGCTGATGTCTGGTGGGGTAGAAGACCGCAGGTTGTTGCCTGGGGAGTTGGGTGGTAACAGTGGTTTTCAGAAGCCTCTCTGAGCCCAGGGAGGGTGGGAGCTGAGAACATCGTCCAAGTGCATCCCAGTGAAGGTCTTTCTGTGAAGGGCAGGAGCGGACAGTCACGCAAAAATATTTATTCAACTCCTAAAGATATACTTACTAAGCAAGCAGTGTGCAATGGGAAATCTGTTTGACGAAGCCTATTTTCTTAAACTATGCTGATTTTAACTTTACACTGTGAGGAATTTTCAGTTCTCTTTTTGAATAAAGTAGTCATAGATCCTTTCTCCACCTGGAGAGCTTCTGCTCTTCCTTCCAGGTCTTGCTCAAGCAACATCACCTGGGAAGGCCTCCCTTGGACATCTTGGAAGAGATTTTTTTATAACTTTCAGTGCACCACCTTACAGTTAAATAATACATATTTGTGTTTGCGTCCTTCACTATTTTGTGAGCAGTGTATCTGGAATTTTTTTCTTACCCATTTCTTATTCCCACAGCCTATATCCAAGGCCTAGCACAAAAAAAAGTTAGCATTTTAAGTGAAATAATGAATACCGATGATGACATAGCAGGGAGAGTCGTGTTGTCTTTTAAAATAGAATTCACAACTGTGACTTAGTGAAACCTTAGGTCCTGTTTTGCTTGTGAGTAGCAGAGAAACTGGCTGCTAACAACCGTGCTAAAAGCTGATGGGATGGGCCAAGCATTAAGAATGTCATGATGTAGCTTTCTTTGTCTTTAGAAAGAATTAAGATTCAGGATTGCTAACTAGAAGCTATTAGAAATAATAGGCAGAATATGTTCAGTTAGGTAACGCATAGTGAACACTGACTGAGCACTTCCTACCGGCTGGGCACTGTGCCGCTGCTAACCCTGTATCACTCCATCGGTCCAGGCGGACTCCTACGCCTGGGCGCCATCTTTAACCCCCCGCTGGGGGAGGGGAGGAAGGCCAGAGGTTAAGTGACTTGTATCATGGAATTTAAAAACAGCTACCATGATGCGAGTGTGACAGCACATTTTATTAAAACGGATTTGTTAACTCATCTTAAACTTCTTTATTCACATTTAATAATGTAGCTGAAGCTTTTGCATCTACTTTAGGGCAATGTTTTTTAAAAGGTCATTTATGTAAGTCTTTGTACAAAATGTAGCTTTCCTGGACTTGTGAAGATACTGACCTGACAGATAACAAATGTTAAAAAATAAAAGACTTACTCTTTGAATATTTCTTTGGAAAAAATTAGGTTTACTCTCTAGTATTTTCTTTGTTGGCTGGTTTTGCTGCAAAATGGAAATGTAATTTGTCGAGATATATATAAAATGTTGACACAAATATTTATACTTCAAGTAAGAATAGAATAAGTCCCTAACATTGTTTGGAAACATTTGCTGACATTACTAATTAATATAGTCTGATAAATGTGCTCTGCTCTTTAATCAGTTCACATATGTGGGCAATAATACAGTTGTATCTTACTGATAAAATTAACATGAAGGTCACAGTCCATATAATATTATGTGATTTATAATATAGTCAAAATGGTGTGTGTGTATATGTGTATATAACGGTTTTACAAGTGGACCCACAATCATAATGTAAATGATTAATAGGAAGAACTGAAGAAGTAATAATACATTGATTTCTTGTTCTTTTATTCTCAGTTAATTATATGGCTGCCAATAACAATGAAAATATATTTATTTGCATATTTGACTTGGCATTTATTGATCAACTTATCAAGTAGAGCAGTAGGAAGACAAACTAGAACATAATTTGAATAGGCCAGTGCTTGAGCTATTTGTACAATGAGACATTCAGAAAATATTTTGTGCATCTATTTTAGAAGTTGTTTGTGTTAAAAAAAATGTATTTAGGAAGTACAGTATTCACTTTTCTCCCATTCTGTAAAACCCAGGCAGCCTGTAATTAGAAGTTGAATGATAGCATTTGCCTTTCAGGGCTCAGTGAGTTCTTTAAAATACGTGGTTGCAAAAGTCTCCCATTATATGAGTGCATCGTGAATTGGACAGCTACAGGATGCCTGGTTAGGTTTGGTAACGTGAAAACGGAAAGACAAGAACTCACCCTGGATTTTTTGCATTAACGTTTAACAATACGCTGAAGCTTCTGAGAGTCGGGGAGAGGTTTTGCAGTATTATGACAGAGCAAATCAAAATTCAGGACTCACGGGATATTTGTAGTTTCTTTTAAGCCCCTACAAAAGTTGTTTATGTTTTAAAAAATAGTCTAGAGTTAAAAGTGGGCTATTTAATCTTTATAAAAATGCATCTAAAACCTAATACAGTACCATGCATCCTGAAGAGGAAGCAAACGGAGGAAGGTCTGAGGCGATTTTGTCTGTTTTTCTTCTCCCAGCCTTAACTAATTGCACAGATATCTTAACAATAATAAAATTTCATGAACTATTATAGTAAAATTGTATTGACATAAGTAAGGTGATTTCCTTTACTGCCTTCTTTAAAAGGTACCCATTCCTTTTTTTTTTTTTTTTTGAATTGATAAAAGTTAGGATCCCCATCAGAACTGCGGGCAATGTAACATCCATTAGGACTCGATTACCTAACTGGGGAAAAACACAAATCACAAATTATTATCATTTATAATATTGAGATGCGTTTTGTAATTACCATATTTTTAGGACTATAAGATGCACCAGACCATCAGACATACCTAGGTTTTAGAGGAGGAAAATAGGGGAAAAAATTTGAAGCAAAAAATGTGGTAAAATACTTAATAACCTGAGCTCCCACTGAGCCCTGCCCACTGCCTGGAAACCCTTCTCCAGTTCTCTTTCTCACCCATTGCGATGCCTGTTAGAAGCTGTCACCCTTCTCACACATTCTGGGTTCCCTTCTTGACTAAACTTTCACTCAATCTATTTGCCTTTTATTTCAAAGAGAAAATAGAAACTATCCAATGATTTTTTTTCCAACCTTCACATTGTAAACCTGCTACATGAATGCCCATCCTCTCCCTTTCCTTCTTGTTAGGGAGATAGTGCCCTTCCCTCTGACAAAAGACAGCTCTTCCACCTGCATTTCAAACCTCATCATCTCCTGTAACACCACCACCGTCCTCATCATCATTGTGTTTTGTGCATATTAGTGGAAAGGCGTCTGTAGAGATAAGTTGACAATAAAAACGAGAGAGAAAATATAATCAATAGTTGAGGGTCCCTCAGAGGGTGGAAGGAAGATGGGATTTGGAGCATAAGAATTAGCCGCAGACAAGAGGGATACCTCTTCTGTTGTAAAAACCAAAAAAGGTAATGTTTAGCAATTAGTAGTATTTCAGGCCTTACGCTAAGCATTTTACAAACATCTTAGTTCTCACAAGAACCCTATGAGGCTGGTAGTACAGTGGTATTACTCCTATTATTCATTTGAGGAAATTGAGACTCAGAGAAATGAAATCACTTGCATGAGGTCACGTAAGTGGTAAGTAACAGATCTAAGGTTTGAGTCTCGTGGGTTAACATTGACCGTTGTGGTGCAGTGCGAGAGGAAGGCAGAAGGAAAGAGGATATTGGAAGTCTTGGAGACTTAGTGACAGGAAGAAACTGGAAGTGTGATTCACTAAAAGTAGTCTCCCAGCTTTATTGTTTCAACAAGCTTGATGCGTTTGTGTCCTGTGCTTAATGAAGTTATTAATGAGAATGTTTTTGTTGTTCTTTTTGCTTTTATTTCTTTGTTCATTTGCTTTACCAGTTGGGTGACTTTGTGCAAGCAGGGTAGTAACTTGAGTTTGGAAGTGTTTTCCTGTAGTTATTTGGGCTCCTCCTCATGAAAGACCCATAGTGGTCAGACAGGTTGGGGGGTGGATATGCGGCCTTTGCCCTTGAGGGCAAAGTGTCAAGCCAGAGGTATTACCCCTTCCTTAGAGAGGGGGCTCTCACGGTTGTGGACAAAAATTGGGCTCTGTAATATATAAATGCAGCCAAAAGTAACCTCACAGGGTGGTCTGGTAATAAATTCCTACTGGGCAGGTCATGGTGGGTCGTCACACCGCAAGCCTTCAATGTCCCTGGAAAGCAAGCCCTGTCCCCTGTTCCAGGTTCACCATCTAGGTTAACACGCCATCGGGAAGGTGCTTTTTTCAGACCCCTCAGAAGCACAGCCACCTTCAAGAAAACCCACAGTCTTGTTAACTGTCCTGTAACCCAACCCCCGCCTTCCCTTCGCCCCATTTCCTGTGATCTTCCTTAATTTCCCTCCTTAATTCCAGCTGTAGAAAAGAAACTGGAAAACTGTCATTCTCAG